TCGAAGGCATTTTACTGAGAACAATAGGAGGATCGTTGTTGTTTTTTTCTGTGTTGTTTTCTCCACTCCTCCTTTGTTCTCTTCCATATCACCCTCATTACAGTTTGCCACTTTATATTAGGTGTCAATTATGGCAACAAGCAGAATGTGATGGTCATTCGAAAATGAACAGGAAAGGAGCAGGAAAGGGAAGATCATATCATGCTATCATATGTCTTTGTGGAAAAAAATTGTAGAGGGATGAAGATATCAGGGAATGGAAATATGATGAAAAATGAAAGGAGAAATGAAATTAGAAATACAAGGATAGAGGAGAGGAGGAATAGCAGAGGATGGTACGGGCAGTGGAATTTTAAGAGGCAGGAGAAACAGTGGAGGAGAGAAAGAGAGGCATACAGAAAAAGTGAGAAAGCAAAACAGAATGCATGGTGTCAATCTCAGAGGACAGTAGGTGTCTGTGTCACAGAGAAAAACTCTGAAGCAGAAGACAGAAAAGAAGACTAGAGGAAAATAGCACATTGGAGTGGAGATGGACAGCAAGAACGACACATATATTCTTCTGCTGACAAGGACAGAGAAAGGCTTTCAGAAAGGTAAGGTGCATGGATAAGATAGTGAGGGAGAAGTTGAGGAAGCAAGACTTCAAAGGAAGAAAACATAATAGGAATCATAAGTGTTTCTGAACATACATTTAGGTAACATGAATGAGAACCTGTTCAAATGGAAGATAATGAATCTCTGCTTAGTTTTGAGGTTGTGTTCCAATTAAAGTGTTCAGCAATCTATAATCGAGTCTCTGCATTGGTGGTTTAATATTTAACTGAAATCCGGATGTACGGCTATATAACAGTACACTATCTGAACTCAAATTCAACAGTAAATTCTTAAGTATAGTGTTTGTGACATAGCCTGGCACTTCTTTGGTCTGGATGCAGCAACTGATTTCAACACAGGGCCCATCCAGACAAGCCTTAAAACTGAGACCAAATGACGCCTCTGGTAAAACCAAATTAATTAGATACCCCATTAGATCTGGGCATTCCTGAAAGAACTGGGTCTAATGGGGTATTGGGCCTGTGGAGATTCACAACTGGGTAGTCCGGGGACTACCAGAGGGCGAATCCCCATTGACATCTCATATCTTTTGGGCTCCTGGAGCCCAAAGGTGTGGGATGGCACCCACCCATCCCCCAAAACCCCCAAATAACCCCTAGAAATGAAATAAAACTTACCGGGCCGCCATTACATCCTTCCTAGCGCTCTCATGGAGCGAGGAAATGACGTGCCAGAATACTGGGGGAGGGGGATGGAGGCAAGGAGGGATTTTCTTCCTCACCCCCATCTCCTGGCATGTAATTTCTTTGTGCCAGGAGAGCACAAAGAGGGATGTAAAAACCGAGTAGGTTTTATTTTACTTCTAGGGGTTATTTTGGGGGGCTTTGGGGTGGATAATGCAAATTATCTGATTTGAACTGAGTCTATACTACCATTCAAAGCAGATAATCTGGATTTTATATGGCGGTGTAGATGGGGGCCTGCGTTAAGCTCCTGTCCAAAGAATCTGTCCAGGAATTAGAAATCATGCATGTGCTTCTTATATCACATGTATGGAAATAATGCTTCCAAACCTACAAACTTTACACCACAAAATCCATACCCCTTACGTTTGTGGAATTCCAGTGCACTTCAGTGCATTTCAGTATATATTCAGCTCCTTGTCTTTCAAGAAAAATTGAGATTGTAAGAAAGGGACAAAGTAAAAGCAAGAGAAAAGTTTAGGGGTACAGTCAATTGACAAATGTTTTCACAAAGTCAGACATCTCTCCCAAACTCAGAACAGGAGGATGTTATCTCATGGAAACCATTTTTTGAACTTCATTCAGATAAGGGTTTTAGCATAGCCATTTACTTTAAATTTAAATGGCAATTTAACATAGAGACAGTAGTTAATCTCCCCCCCTTCTAACATAAATGCATTTGAAATGAGATGTCTTAGCATATTACCATTTATGTTAATGCCTCTCAACTAACTTTCCTATCTGTGTATAAAATAATACATATAGGATGGATTCACATGATAAATCAAGCCAATGCATCATCGTTTTGCTATATAGTTAATTTATTATGGTTGGCAGTAAGCAGCTAATGGTTTGTTCCCTTCCAGCACACAAAAGAATGATGCACAGAACAAGCCCTTGTTTGTTGGATCTTGGAAGAAACCATCTATTACCAGATGAGATGATAAACCAACCACAGAGCAAACTCCATGGCCCCATCCACACTGCTACATAAAATCCAGATTTTCTGTTTTGAACTGGATTATATGGCAATATATACTAAGGCCCCTTCTACATTGCCATATAATCCAGACTATCAAATCAGATAATCCACATTATCTGTTTTGAACTGGAGTATATGAGTCCAAACTGGCAGATAATCCAGTTCAAATCAGACAATCTGGATTTTATATGACAGTGTAGAAGGGGTTTCAAATAATCCAGTTCAAAGCAGGTAATATGGATTATTTTATTTGATAATCTAGATTATATGGCAGCGTAGATCCAACCTGATAGAAGACTCCTTCACACTAACACAGGCCCCTTCCACACACAGCTGTATATAATCCACATTGGAGTGGATTGTATGGCTCTGTGGACTCAGATAATCCAGTTCAAAGCAGGTATTGTGGATTATCTGCCTTGATATTCTGGGATTTATTTATTTATTTATTTATTTCGGGCACTTCTACCTCGCCCTTCCCAACCCCCGAGGGGGGACTCAGGGCGGCTTACACCGGCACAATTCGATGCCAACAATTCAACAAATAAATTACATAATAGCAATAACCACAGTAGTTAAAACAACCAATTAAAACAATAACAATTAAACAATTAAAAGCCAATCTAGTGGCTGTGTGAAAAGGCCTACAGTCATATCATTATATTATATGATTTCACCTTAACTACCACAGAAACATCCTAGGAAATCCCCATATTAGCAATTCACAGTCCCCTGCCAGAGTGATTCAACAAACCCCCAGGATTCTCTGGGTTCATCTACTCTGCAGAATTAATGCAGTTTGACACCACTTTCAGTGCCATGGCTTAATGCTGTGGAATTTTCAAACGACAACTCCCAGGATCCCATAGCATTGAGCCATGGCAGTTAAAGTGGCTTCAAACTATTAATTATGCAAACTGCATACATTCTACAATGTAAATGCACCCTGTGTCTAATTAAAATCAACAGGATTAAAGTCATGTACCATATCTCATTGATTTCAGTGGATCATCAGCCCCAGATATTTAGTAAGCATTTAGAAGCAAATATTCTACAATAAATAAATAAACAAACAAACTGTACCTTCTGTTTTGAAAGATGTTCACTCTTGAGACAAAAAGGATGCTTGCTGCCACCTGCAGTTTGTAGAAATATTGGTGTTTAAAATATGTTTTTATTGTTAATACATTTATTTACATCCTACCTTTCCCCCAAAACAGACTTGAGATGGGTCAAATACAGATAAAAGCAGGGAATACACACATACACACAGCCACATAACCCAGAATATCATGGCAGATAACCCACAATATCTGCTTTGAACAGAGTCCACACTGTCATATAATCCAGTTCAATGTGGATTTTATACAGTTGTGTGGAATCCAGATTATCAAGGCAAATAATCTGGATTATCCAATTTGAATTGGATGAGTGTACACTGTCATATAATCCAGTTCAAAGCAAATCATTTGGATTCTATATGACAGTGTAGAAGGAGCCTTAGATTGCAATTCTATACACCCTTCCATAGGATTGTGCCCTATTGAACTCAGCAAGGCTAATTTTGGACCAGAATTAGGATTTTTAGGGTGCATAGCATATACACTGTAGAATTAATTCAGTTTGGCACCCATTTAATTGCCATGGTGCAGTACTATGGAATTTTGAGATTTGTAGTTTGGTGAGGCATCAGCACTCTTTGGCAGAGAAGGTCCAAGACCTTGTAAAACTACAATTCCCATGTTTCTATAGCATTAAGTTATGGTAGTTAAAGGGGTAGCATTAATTCTACAATGTAGATCAGACAAGGGCAAACTTGGGCCCTCCAAGTGTTTTGGACTTCAACTCTCATAATTCCTAACAGCCTCAGGCCCTTTCCTTTTCCCTCAGGCCCCTTCCTTTTTCCCCTCAGCCGCTTAAGCGCTTAAGCGGCTGAGGGGAAAAAGGAAAGGGCCTGAGGGAAAAGGAAAGGGCCTGAGGCTGTTAGGAATTATGAGAGTTGAAGTCCAAAACACTTGGAGGGCCCAAGTTTGCCCAGGCCTGGTGCAGATGCACCCTCAGTGCCAATTTTGTATTTCATCCCTAATATTCAAATAGCCTTCATCCACTTGGCACCTCCTAGATGTGCTGGGCTACAACTCTCATCACCACAGAAAGTTATAATGTTTAGGGATGGTAGGAGTTGTAGTCCAACACATCTGGAAACTTCAATCTTGGAAAAGCCTGCGGTATCCCTCAAGAGTGTGCAATAGGTGGTTCATGCCGGACTGTACCACTTCAAGTTGTGGGTGAAGAAACTATAAACTTTGTATTATTGCCCTCTTAAAAAGCTCCCTGTAGGCAATAGACTACACCATAGTAGAGAGAGAGTAGACTATTTCTTCCAATTTCTAGTTTAATAAGTGTCACATATTTTGATTTATTTACAAGGAGCATATAATAGGATCCCCCCTAGAGTCCAAAATGGTTCTGTCCGAATTCCTCTCAGTTTGGTTTACTGACAGAAATTGTGTGAGGAGGGGATGGTTCAGTTGAGAGAAACAGGGCAACTTTTGGAGTAACCTGGGCCCATTTTCCTTCTTTATATTAGGATACACACACACACACACACACACACACACATATACATATACACACTTACATACACAGATATATACATATATGGTATTTACACACACACACACATATAGATATATTCTCCAAGGACAGTCAGAGGAAAAATGAGCCTGGACTCCTTGTTTCAGCAAATCCTCCTGACAGAACAAAAGGCAGGGGAGAAACGGCGCCTCTTGCAACAAGGTTGGCCGCCATCTTCTGTAACCTTAGGCCTAGATGTCTAACTAAAGAGGCCTGTCATTAGCCATTTTAAAATAAAGCCAATTCATTTTTCCAGTCCAGTTTAACATAATTGTCGTGCTGAGTTTGGGGGTTGTTTTGTTTCCCAGTACTGCACCACCCATTGCTAAATAGGCAGCTTAAAATGGAATGTAAACCTTACTCATCTGCACAACACTGTTTGGATTTAGGAAATCTATATAAATAAAAATGTAATGTTCGTTTGTGGGATTAACAGAACTCAAAAACCACTGGACAAATTGACACCAAATTTGGACACAACGCACTTAACAACCCAATGTATGTCCACTTAAAAAAAATGATTTCTTCAGTTGAGAGTTGTAGTTCCTGGGATTTATAGTTCACCTACAATCAAAGAGCATTCTGAACCCCACCAACGATGGAATTGAACCAAACTTGGCACACACTTCTCCCATGAGCAATAGAAAATACTGGAAGGATTTAGTGGACAGTGTTCTTTGGTTTTGGAGTTGTAGTTCACCTACATCCAGAGATCACTTTGGACTCAAACAACGATGGATCTGGACCAAACTCTACACAAATATTCAATATGCGCAAATGTGAACATTGGTGGAGTTTGGGGAAAATAGAATTTTGACATTTGGGAGTTGTAGTTGCTGGGATTTATAGTTTTCCTACAATCACAAAGCATTCTGAACCCCACCAACGATAGAATTGGCTCAAACCTCTCACACAGAACCCCCATGTGGCAACGTGTGGCAGGGGACGGCTAGTCAATAATAATAATAATAACAACAACAATAATACCAACATTGAGGGAAGTCAATAGTAGTAAACTTCTTCAAGTGCAAAAGACAAAGAGTGAATACCATAAAAACACAATCCAGAGCAAAAGAGAAAACTGTCAAAAGAAGTCTCTCCATGGACAGTTCCTGGGAAAAATTGAGAGCCAAATTGACAAAGGAAAAACATGGATGTGGCTCACAAATAAAACTTTGAAAAAAAGGAGACGGAGGGCCTGATTCCGGCAGCCCAAGAACAAGCCATTAGAACCAATGCCATCAAAGCCAGAATTGAAAAGTCAACGACAGATCCCAAATGTTGACTCTGCAAGGAAGCAGATGAAACAATAGATCACATCCTCAGCTGCTGCAAGAAGATCACGCAAACAGACTACAAGCAGAGACATAACACCATTGTTCAGATGATTTATTGGAACCTGTGCCATCTGCCTGCGACAAAGAACTGGTGGGATCACAAGCCGGAAAAAGTTACAGAAAATGAACACGTCAAACTCCTCTGGAACTTCCAAATTCAAACAGACAGAGTTCTGGTTTCTGGGTTATAAATGTCATTTCCTAATTGGTTCTGTCATACAAACATGGAAAAGCTTATTAAACTGCAAAAACCTGGCTTTCTCAGGACATCCCGAAGCACATTTTGCTATAGTTTTTCAATGAACATCTCATAGAGTTTCAACCAATTCAATGCAGTTTGTGATAGCCACAAAAATGAAGTTTCTGGAGTATATCAACTAATTTTAAAATAAGAACTGCACAATTAAACAGGAAATAACACTTTCAAACTAGGAACAAAATTTGTTTCAAATTTTGTTACACAGTGTTATGAATGTACAAACATGTACTTATAGTGTGGACTGGATAGTCTTTCAGTCAAAGTGACTGCAGAAAGAAAACCTGGAACATGGGACCTGAAGGGGCCTGAAGGCAAACTAAAAGAGTTGCAGTTAATACATTTGTAACCATTGTGCAATCCTTTCAAACAAAGTTTTTCCGAGTGATGAAATTAATCATACAAATATTGAAGTGAAGGTATGAAATAGACAACTTAAACCCTCATAACGTAGACTTCTTTTTTGTTTCAGTTAAACAAAAAATTACACAAGGACATGAAAAAGCTAAAATATTAAGGGAACAACTGGATGAAGCCAAAATAAAACTTGAAGAAGAGGTAGGACAATACCATGGTTATTACATTAGATTAATTGACTTGGTTGAAATAACAAAGCTCATATACGTTAGTATATTGTGTGTCCATATGAGCTGTGCTTTCCAATATGTATTCCTCATTTGCTGGTCCATTTCAGGCAGAAAGTTCTTTCTTGGAATTTCTGAAGTAAAACTAATATTTTAGAAAGTTTGTATTATTATTTTTTATTTAAAAATCTGTATTTTGTGCAAAGCATTGAGCATACACAGATTATTGAAGTTCTTCATTCATGTTCTATTTACATTGCCATAAAAATAAAATTCTTCACATCAAGAACTGCATTAATACAATAACATAGAAAACATAGCGAGGAATCCACAATCTTAATGTGAATAAACCTCCCCCTCTTTTTCCATAAAAGCTATGTAATCGTTTGGGTCCCATAGAAAAATGATCAGATACTTTCCCGATCTGGGGGGGGGGGGGGGGGGGGGGGGGGGGGGGGGGGGGGGGTTAATAGTTTCTGAACAAATTTTTGACAAACTTCAGACAATTTGCCCATGCCTCAATTCAACGAACAACTTGCCTTAATGTAACATTTCTGCTTTCTCTCTGGTTTTTCTTGTTTTGAAAATGTTGTTCTTCGGTTCTTGGAGCAACATGTCTTATCTCATTTGTCTAAGGGTGCATTTACACATGCCACATAATCCAAGATAGTTAGGAGTTCTTCTGAACTTCATGGTCATCTCTTGTGGCAATGAAAGAATGATATGGGCCAGAGTCATCACATTTTGTGAGTGTACCTGGACTAGGAAAAAGGAAATGGCAGTGTTTGCCTATACAGACAGCAGACTGGCTTGATTGTTCTGTCCAAACTAACCCTGAAGTATGGGATTACTCTGGAATTTTAAGAAATTTCGGCCCAAGAAATTTTTGCGTCACCCCAAGAACATTGGTAAATAATATAGGTATAAAAACCAAACATTTACTGATAACAAATCAACATTCAAGGCTTGCTAAACAGGCTTATTTTTCTGTTTTGAATGAAGTATAGCTGAAGCATCTTCTGCAGAGTCTACTGTAAACCCTGCACAACAGATTCATGTAAATGTCTAAGGACCTTATCAGTTGGCCCACTGTAAAGTGGGGGAAATCATGGGGTAGCGTAGAGAACTGCCTCGCTGTGTTCCCTACTGTTGAGACTTGGTGCCCACCAAACCCCTAGTATCTATGTTTTAATCAGAAGTTATAGGCATGGAAATTAAAATGCCATATCTTTAATTTGGAGAGCAAAATCATTGGGTGAGCAACAGAAAAAAATAGTGCCACACAGCTGAGAAGTAACTTAACCTTTTTATAGTAGACGTTTCTAACATTTCTAAACATGTGCATGCAAGCCTTTCCCCCCATTCACATCTGTCTTGGCTTCCTTTGTCCTTTTCTCGGCACTTCTTATCCACAACATTTCCCCCTCTCTTCCCCCATTCCTGTACTCCCTTTCCCTTCTCTCTAGGTCATAAAGTCCTCCTCTTGAACCTTTTCCCCACTTTCATTTCCTGCTGTGCTGCTCTTTTGGCTAGCAGAGAATTTCTTCTTTCTTTTCAACTTCTCCAATTCTCCCCTCCCTTCTTAACCTTATTTGGTTTTGTTAGCAAATTTCATCCTCTTCACTACCATTGGGGTCCATGGTACCCCTTCCCACTATGTTTCCCCACTGTCCCCTGCTTCCTTTTTGGCTCCTCTGCTGGCATGGAGCCCCACGTGATGTGATGGTCTCCTAGGGAACTCCATACTGGCAGTGGAAAGAAGCAGGCAGAAGGCACTTCTCTCCCTGCATGTGATGAGGTAATTAAACAGCCACTAGATGACTTTCAGAAAATGTTTACTATGGCCAAAAATTTGAGACCCCAACATTGAGCTAAGGAAATCCCATTTGGGGTCAGGACCCACAGTTTAGGAAGCAGTGGTATAGACAAACCTAAGTTCTATTTAGAAACTTTATTTTTCAAGCAAGCCACTGTCTAATGTAAAAGGAAGGTTGACTTCATAAAGAAATACATAATTTACAGAACTTTTCAAAAGTATTTGTTGTGTCAGCTTGACACCCTGCTCATTTCCTGACCTCAGACATAGTGGTAGGTCCAGGTCACAGAACAACAATCGCATTGTCTTTAGTTCATTGTGTTACTACTTGTAAAACTAATTTGTGACAATCATAATTTTATTCCTTTGCTGCTATTTTGCAATTGACTCACTCTAATTAACAGTTTCAGTAGCTATATAGGGTCATGAATGTGTGGGAATAATTACTGTGAGTTACTAATAGGGAGAGGTAGAAAAGCATTTCTAAACCAATTATGGTCTTAAAACTACATAATTAATTACCTGAAGGTCAATGCCTATTAACTTCCATGTTTGGTTAGTCTCAATTTATTTTTCTGAAGACTTTGCACTTTGCAAGCTTGGGAAAAACCAATATGTATTACCTGCACAATAAATACTCAGTGTTGTTAAAATTATTACCACTTACTACTATGTGTTTAGTACAGAAACATATAAGCTGTTCACTTTAATGACCTATAGTATATATGTTGTGACTGATTTCCAGTACATCCTATATGCCTTTTTCAAATTCCTCTATAAACTTTGCTCTACATTTTCATGTGTTCTTTGCAATCCCACATCTGTAAACACAGGGGCATCGAAAAGAGGAAAAATAAGCTATGTATTTGAGTTCAAAGAGCTTTTCACATCTATTTCACAGAGACTAGTTGTGGTCAATGAAATGCACCCAGGAAATATAAATGTTGGCGTGTTCCAAAAAAACTAGGCACCATATAATTAGAACTTGAATTATAGCATTTTGCCTTTCAAGGTTCAAGTTTCCCTCTTTAAAAAAATGCTGTTCTAAAGGATATATTGGGCTTAGGGCAGAATCCTATACTGACTGTTTGCTTAGACAGCATAAACTCCAATAATCTTTGGGCAGCATATTTCAACAATTTCTGTGATGATATCAGTGATGGTAATCTCTTCCTTGGCAGAAAGGATAGCTTACATCAGTCAAGGTGCAGAGTATTTCCTTTCCTTTTTAACCACCCTGTCTATTTTCAAGGCTCCCAAAATTAAGCTCTTCCTGGGTGTCAGCAAGGTCAGTCATTTTGCATGCAAGAGTTTTGGAAAGTTCAGACAAGTTGCTGGCTTTCCATCTCCGAAGCCCCTTCTTAATCTCAGGCACATATAAATTGCCCTGAACAAACTCCATGGTATCTCTACTTGCTGAGCAACAGAAAAGAAGCTCAATTGTCTGAGGACAGATAATATTCGCATTTCTTCATGACAGCTTTTTTTGTGCTTAGCACAAAGGAGTGGCATTCATATTTCCTGCAAAAGATATTCATGAAAGTGAGTGGTAGTTCAACCAACAATTGATAGGACTCTACCTGCTTTAGTATACTTGCTGTTTGCATTTTAAAGAGAGGCATTTAGAGAATCAAGCCTCTCTGTTGATATTATTTTTGTTGTCATTATTCATGGACAATCACATGTGGCCAGATACTATTGTCTTCAAGAGGTAGATTCTTGGTGGTGGATCTATATGTGACTATGAAGGCCTATGGTCAACATTTTCTAGCCTTAACCATTAAGATTGGTTTGTGCCTGCTAGTAGAACACTGGTTTTCTTGATGTTAAGTGAAAGGCCAAGATGTTCACATGCTTCTGTGAAGGTTGCCCTTATTATTGTGATTCTTGATTCTGTTTATACCCTTACTTCCTTCATAAGAGACTTGTAACATCATTTTAGCCCCATCGACACAACCGTATAATCCAGTTTCTGAATCCATATTAGTTGCTTTGAACCAGATTATACAGCAGTGTAGATGATTTATTTATATATTTATTTATTTATTTATTTATTTATTTATTTATTTATTTATTTACAGTTTTTCTATTCCGCCCTTCTCACCCCACAGGGGACTCAGGGTGGATTACAGTATACACATATATGGCAAACATTCAATGCCAGTTTGACAGACAACGAATACAGACAATACACAGAGGCTATTTAACTTTTTTCTGGCCGCCAGGGGAGCTGCTGCTTTCATCGTCCATGTTACACGTCTCTTATGTAAGGCCACATCTACACTGCTATATTATCCAATTTCTGAATCCAGATTATCTGCTTTAAACCGCATTATATGAAAGTGTAGATTCACATAATCCAGTTCAAAGCAGATAATCTGGATTCAGAAACAGGATTATATGGTAATGTAGATCCAGTCTAAATGTTATTATATCTGAGAAGTGTCTAAAATAGCAGGGGATTAAGGAGTGTTTAGCCAATTTTTTAAATTTCTGCTTGTATATTTGTGAAATCGATTTCACTTATAATGTAGAAACGCAGTCACACAATAATCTTCCACTTTTAATAAGTTCCAGCATGTATAATTTAACTCATTTGTTTTATCCTGTTTGAACATCCCTGAATACTACGCCTCTGGAAAGTGGGGGGAAAGATACGCCATATGTTATAGATAAGAGTTTCTGGGAGCTCAATCCTTGCTCCTTAATGATACAAAAAGGACCTTATATGGATATTCATCCCTAGCTATTAGATATATTCAACTCTACTATTTTGACTTTTGTTGCTGTTAGAATACCAGTCTTGCATTGGTAGAAAAGGAGGTTTTGAGATTTTAACTTGATCTTAACATTATTTGACAGATAAATAATGCAGTTTGTCTTACCACAGCATCACTGTGTGTGACAGAACTCTGAATCCTGTTGTCAGTCCAAACCAGAGTGAATACTCTGAAACTTTGGGATCGACTTAAGTGCTGATTCACCATTTAATAATTGATTCAGTCAGTGTACTCTATTTAAGGCTCGTCCAGGATTCAGGCCAGGCGCCTCTGGTCTAATCTTCCTTGTTCCTCTGAAATCCAGGAAAAGGATGTATTTATGGTTAATTACATTCTACCATAGTCTGCAGCTTTGAGTCACACATTTGATTTCTATGCTAAATGAAACAAAAATGAAGAAGATAGTTTCCGAAGACTGGTCAGATTCTCACACTGCCAGAGCTATGTTTCAAATCATAATAAAAAGAGAAACCAAACTTCATATAAAATCTGTCATATGTAGAAGTTTATGTGAATATATCTTTAAACTGCTAGTGTTTAAAGCACCAACTGTACTCAGTTTTTGTAACCAGAATTTTTCAAAAATAATTTTTGTAGGTTCAGCTGCTTTCAAAAAAGTTTTTTAACTTGGAACTTTTGAAGAAAAAGGAAGAGAGTCTGGAGAAACAGAAAAATGAACTTCTGTGTCAGAAAAGTATTCTGCTTGAAACTTTTGTATGTTTGCAGTAGGAATAATTTTAAGCAAACAAAATTGACTTTTTCAGGCTCACTTTGTTTACATGGTGGGAACGCTTTGTTGACAGATAGTTGTGATTAGTGAGCAATGTTTTCTAAAACACGTTGGACATTTTTTTAATAAATAGAAACTGACATTTGGAGAACTATGTTCAGTGTTTTCTGCTTTTTTATTTCCCTTTGTGTTAAACTACTGTTCATTCTTGTTTGATAAAAAGTTTAAAATATAGATTTAAATAATTCTTTTAAATCCAACTCCACACTGATTTCATAAAAATATATTTGCAACTAATTGCATGGGAATATGATGCTATTCATTTTTATAGCACTTTAAGTGTGCAATCTTTACTGAAAATGTTCTCCTCAAAATATGTTGAGTTGTTTTGCTAAATTAGGCTATTGAAACCATAGCAAACATTTTCCTCTTAACTACTGTAAACTTGCATTGAGGCTGGATTTATTTATTTGTCGTGTCAGGACAACCAGTCAAATTATATTACATTTCTAACAGAACAAAGCAAACAAACAGACAAAATACAAAATGTGTGAGTTTGGTAGTTGATTAAATGTCCTTTGACCAGTTTAAATGTCCTTGGAGTGCTTCTGGTGTTGCTGCAAGAAGGTCCTCCATTGTGCACATGGCAGGGCTCAGGTTGCATTGCAGCAGGTGGTCAGTGGTTTGCTCTTCTCCACACTCGCATGTCAAGGATTCCACTTTGTAGCCCCATTTCTGAAGGTTGGCTCTGCATCTCGTGGTGCCAGAGCGCAGTCTGTTCAGCGCCTTCCAAGGCGCCCAGTCCTCTGTGTGCCCAGGGGGGAGTCTCTCATTTGGTATCAGCCATTGGTTGAGGTTCTGGGTTTGAGCCTGCCACTTTTGGACTCTCGCTTGCTGAGGTGTTCCAGCGAGTGTCTCTGTAGATCTAGAAAACTATTTCTTGATTTAAGTTGTTGACGTGCTGGCTGATACCCAAACAAGGGATGAGCTGGAGATGTCTCTGCCTTGATCCTTTCACTATTGGCTGCTACTTCCCGGCGGATGTCAGGTGGTGCAATACCGGCTAAGCAGTGTAATTTCTCCAGTGGTGTAGGGCGCAGACACCCCATGATAATGCGGCATGTCTCATTAAGAGCTGTTTTAGTGTGGTGAGATGTGTTCCACACTGGGCATGCATACTCAGCAGCAGAGTAGCACAGCACAAGGGCAGATGTCTTCACTGTATCTGGTTGTGATCCCCAGGTTGTGCCAGTCAGCTTTCCTATGATATTGTTTCTAGCACCCACTTTTTGCTGGATCAACACTGCCCTGTAAACCAGATTATCAAATCAAATAATCCATATTATCTGCTTTGAACTGAATTATATTAATCTACAGTTATATAATCTAGTTCAAATCAGATAATCTTGATTTTATATGGCAGTGTAGATGGGGTTGAAGTTATATTGAAATAAGTGTTGCTTATTTCCAAGCAGAAATTATTGGAACCACTTAGTAAGGGATAAAAAGTATACTCCTATAGGATGGAAGTGATAGATGCATTAGCAATATTGCATGTGATTATTGTTGATCCTACACTGAACATGAGTCAGCAATGGGATGTTGCAAGAAAGGATAGAAGCATAGTTTCTAAGCTGCAGGAAGTTAGAGTCCCACTATATTCTGAGGTGATCATGCTTCATCTAGAGTTCTGCATTCAGTTGTAGGTGCCTTATTTTAAGGATATATACAAATTGGAGCAGGTTCGTAGAAGGGCAACAAAAATGAAAAAATGGATGGAATGCAAAGTGAATGGATGGAGTGAAAAGCTTGAAGGAACTGGGCAACTTCAGCTTAGTGATGAGAACATGACCATGCTCTTTAAATATCTCAAATGCTGACACAGAAAGTGGGGGGGGGGGGGCACACATGTTTTCTGTTGCCCCAGAGTATAGGTCTAATCATGGGTTGAAGTTACAGGAGAGTACATTTTGATTTAACATTAAAAGGAACTTCAGAACAGTAAGATCAGTTTGGCAATGGAACAAATTATCTACAGAGCTTATGGGGTAAAGAGATGATGATATCTTCAAAAAGAGGCTGTACAGCTAACTGCTGGGAATGTTTTAACTGAAGATCCCTAACTGAGCAAGGGTTTGGACTCGATAACCCATGAGGCACCTCCAAACTCTATCATTCTATAGTAGACTGCATTTTGTCACTAGCAATATCTTAAAATAGTGGTGTATATATGGGCACATACGTGCATGCAATTTTCTGTTTTATTTTTCTCAAACAGAATACTATTTTTTCATTTATTTTTATCACATTGTTAGATGGATATCAAGAGAAAAAATGCCACAGAGGATGAGAAATTTCTGAAGGAACTTGCAGACTTCAACAACGAATATGCGTTAACATCCGATAGGGAGCTCTTAATTAAAAAAAGAGCTAAGGCTGAAATATGTGAATTGGAGGAAAAAGAAAATGTTTTGAGAAATGGTATGTCTTGAATTTAATTATTTTATCTTGGATTATCTGAGAATATAAATGGCTGTGCTGCAGCTCTGTGACACTGCAATTTTACATTTCTCTTCCAAGCTGAAAAGTCCTATTAAATTTTAAGGTAATGATTTGCCTAGAGTGAAAAACAACATATTTTACTGGCACATCAAGCATGCTCCATGTCAGGTGTAGGCAACATTAACTGCAGATTAATAGTACTGGACATGGCTGGTCAAACATATGGCTCATACTAGTACTTGTTTCCTTACATTGATCTATCCATGAAATATTACTAGAGGATGGAGAGAATAACCATTTTATTCACCATGCGGTTTTTAGGTATCTTAAAGGATTAGATAAAGTCAATAGCTATCACAGATTGGGAGCCCTTCTACACAGGCCCTAAAATGCTGAAGCTGCAAAGTTAAAAGGGGTGTGGGGTGGGGGTGGCTAAATGACGCTACTGGTAAATCCATGCTGATTTGAAGCAACGGACAAAAAACATGTGTTAAAGAGGTGTGTTTAAGCTGCTTAAATCCTGATTCTAGCCAAAAAATGTGCATAATTGCATCACTGTATATCTCTGCAGTCATGTAAATCACATGCTTTCCTTCCCTTCCTCCTGTGTAGACTGCTCTAGTGCATGTCCGCTTTTTAAAAGCCCAAACCAGCTGATCACCTGATTGGGCTGTCAAGAAGACACTGAAGGGAAGCACAAATGGAAAGCAATTAGAACTCTCTGAAACTCTTTATTTGACACTTTATATTCTTAAACAGAGGTTGAATTAACAACTGGGGGAGAGAGATCTGACAGGTTTTTTTAAAAAAAATTCCAATGTCATGTGCTGACCTCATATGCACACATGCAAACCTGCTTATATTTATATTAAGATATTCGCAAGTGTGCATATATGGTGATCTCTTTTTTTAAAAAACTTCCATCGACTCACCCCGTCTGCCCTCCATCTTGTTCTCAAACAGAGGAAGCCTGTGAGGATGGCAGGGGACCCAATCCTGGGATTATCAGGTCTGTGCAGTCAGATCCTGGGATTTTTACCCCCCCCCCCCATTTTAAACGAGGATCTTGGCACTGTCTGGAAGTGCCCTGAGTTCTTAAATAGTGGCTTTTGGTACTGTTGTACCCATGAACTATAAACACACACTTTTGTATCCTGGCCAATTCTAATTTTCACTGTCTCCCCAAGGACATATAATATTACATGAATGGTAAACATTTTCCTTTCGTTTTTTAAGAATACATATCCATATTACTTTCCATAAATTCTGCAAACAATATAGATACAAAAATCACTATTTCTCAGTACAGAGTCTCTGGGTCATGCATTCATTGATCACCACACTGAGTTGGTAGTGATGGGACAATTTGGATAGCAGGTGGTAACGGTAATAATAATTATGTCACCTGATTGACTGGAAATTAGAGCTATATAGTTACATCAGCTGCCCAGTAAAGGTTTTCTGGCCCAGTGAAGATCTGTGGTCTTTGAAAATTCAGGGTTTCAATAGTACAACCTGGGTCCCCTTCACACTTCACAATTCCAGTACTTATTGTCGAATATATTATACATTTTTAAAGAGTTTAAAATGTTCAAAAAGAGTTGGTTTGGGAAGTGACGGAAGAAAACTTCAAAAACTCCCTCTGCTGTTGTTTCTGTAATATCTGTCAGACAATATACATCATGTAGAGAAGTGTCTATTATAACTGTGTTTTAAACTGTGTTTATGCTTTACATTGTAGCCATGACCTAGCTGAGAGAGATAGGTTGCCATGGTGACAGGCCAGAGGAGGTGGGCGGAGCTTAAGTAGGAAAGGTTTGAAAACGACAGTTTAAAATCAGTCAGGCGGATGAGACCCTGAAGGACAGAGTCAAAGGGGACTCTGGGATAATAGTTCAGTCAGGGGGAATGAAACCCTGAGGGCAGAGTCAGTTGAGGCTCTGTGGTGTAGTGTAAATTCAGCCAGTTCTTAGGATTTGTGAATATTATTCCAGCTAGGAAGCTGGAGGTGAAACCTCGTTAGATTGCTTGAGTAAAGAAAGAATCTAACAAGAAAGAGGTTTAGGGATCCCAGTGGTGAATGGCTGGAGATCGCTAGTTTGATCCTGTGTAGGACAAACAGTTGTAAATATTCACAATAGGGAACTGAAATATTAAAGCACCTCAGTGTAGAAGAAGTCAAAGAATTGTAACATCACCTGAATGTATCTCAACTAAGCCATATTTGTAACCATCAAGCTTGTGCCAAGTTCAACAGTTAATATTGCAACAGTTACGCTCCGACAATAAATCTGTTCTCTTTGTGTTTTAAAACCTGCCTCATCCATTGATTTCAACGTTTTGCACAATCCACACTACCAAAGTGGCCTCACAACCCAGATAAGAAGAAACAGAGATTATATTACCAATATCTCTTTATATTAGGGTGGCAGCTTAACCTAGAAGTCTCAAATTCTCATTACATTTGTGTGGTGATCCTATTTAGTTGGGATTTCACGCCATTATTTTATTTTTGGAGACTACTTCACATATTTTGGTGGCAGCAAGTGAACGGCTTCGAATTGTAGTAACGAGCGGTGGGGACGCGGCTTCGCAATCACATTGATCAAAAAAGTTATGAATGGAAAATGCATGGAGTATATGGTTCATCCAGACAGGCTAAAAAATGGGACCTGTCTCCATTTTTTTACTGGAGGTGTCCAAACGATGCTTCCTGTAAAAATGAATTAATTTGCAACAAACCAAGGTATCTAATTATTCTGAATTAATTAGATACCCCATTAGATCTGTGCCTTCTGAAAGGCATTGGTCCTGTGGGGATTTACTCCAAGGTCTGCTTCTGCAATCCCAGAAATGAGTCCCATTGTTATCCCACACCTTTTAGTTTTAACATTTTTTACATTTATTGTTATTACCATAATTTTTAATGTATGTTCCCACTTTGCCACAGAAATGATGCCTAATAAAAATAAATACATATATTTAGCAATATTTCATACAACAGTTAACATTTGTATATCAGAAGTTATTTAGTTTCTGATTTTTAGATAGAGCATATTTTTTACAATTTCATGGAAAGTTTGTGTGTGTGTAAAATTCTCTTTCATAATATCTAGAGAGGATGAACAACAGTATATTATGGTTATGTAGTGAAGATATCTTTAATAGACCCTTGACTTAAAATTATCACTTTATTAGAAATAGAGTCAACGGAGCACAAAAATGCTCAATTAAAAATGTTTCAGCTACAAAAGGATGAATTGAAGGAAGATTTATTTACCCTGCAGGAGAAACTCAGAGGTATTTCATTTTTCCAGTGGTCACTTAATTTGATGTTTAAGAATGGTTTGAGAAATTATCCTGATTAAAAAATAATGTATGTCAGATAACACCATGATGTGGGCAAGATCCAAGAGTGGTCCTCCGCAGATAAAATGCAAATCCAGTGAAACAGGGATGAACGTGATCCCCTTTCCCACATAGTGGCCCATGGAAATCCACCAGAGCCAGTTTTAGGACAACAGGGAGGGCTGCAGAGCAAGGGGGAGGAGTTGTAGTGCAACTACCAACACAATAGTAAATTTAGCCTCATGTATAACGTATTTTTAATGAATTTGACTAAGGATGAACAAATAATTAAAACAGTCCTTCTAAAAACTGGTACACTTCTTTGCAATTTGAGCACACCCTACTGCCAAAAGTAGAAGTTTCAATAGCAGCTTCTTTCTTTTGCTATTGGAGATCTTGCTTCACACATAGTTTTCCATTCTAATGTATTTTTTGTACATTAATTTTTACTGATTACTGACTGAATATCTAAAGGAAAACCTCTCCACTTTTTTCTTTATTTAAATATTTTTATTCCCCTAACCCATTTCACTTTATGGGGAGTGGCAGGACAAATCCTTTCAGGTTGTCCCTTTATATGCTTTTGATTATTGAGGTAATTATTTTAACGATTTGAGTTTCTATATTGTTCAGTATTTGTTTTGGCAGCCATGAGTACTATTTTTTATTCAAAGTCAAAAAAAATGTGTTGATACATATTCTGTTATAAATGGGTAATAAAAAGACTTCTATGTCTTTTTTAGATTTGGAAAGTAAAATAAGAGAAGCTAAACACATCACAAAGTGTTTAGAAATGGAAAAAAACAAAATTTCTGAAAAACCTCAGACTGATCCAGAATGTGTAAGGTGAGAAAAGCTATAATACTGTATGTTGTATCAGTATGCTTGGCAAGCCTCCATATTAAGATACCATCTACACTGCCATTTAAAATCCAGATTATTTTCTTTGAACTGGATTGTATGGCAGTGTAATCCAGTTCGAAGATCATCCACTGCCCTATATTTCATGATCTGATCCCACATTATCATCTTATCCCAGATTATTTGGCAGTCTAGACTCGTGTACCCCAGTTCAAATCAGTCTGTGATCAGATCCTTGGATAAAGAGCGGTGTAGATCCAGCCACAGTCATCTGTGAGATCTTAGATCTATTATTAGGTTTGTAGGGAATTGCATGGAACAGATCTGGGGAGATGCAGGGGGCAATGCCAGGAAAGAGTGTACTGGTAGAAGTTATTTGATCTAGGAAAATATTCAGTTTTCTGCTATCTCAAATGATTCCTGATGGACCCATGAATCAGACAGGATGTAACATCTGCTTTCAAAACAACTTACACTCTTGTAAGTCCCAAATTCACAACCTAGCAATGAAAGATAATGAGTTTCATTAGGAAGATTCCTAGATAAACAAGTATGGGATTGCAGTCTTGGGTAGCCTGAGACCTTTCTCCAGTGGGTGAACATTTTAGTAGGGTAAAGCAAAGTTGGCCTTCCAAACTCTTTTACATGAAATTGAAGCATGAATAAAATCCTCTGAATGAAATGTACTTTGCTTCAGAATTTGTGTGTGAAAGCAAAACCGTATGGCTGACACATACATCAAAGAGAAACTCTAAATGGTAACACAAGTTGCGTGTCCGTAAGCCGATATGGTACAGCAAACTACAACTTGCTTTTGCATTATTTATTCTATTATGGTACATTAGCTTTTCTGATGTATGAGGTTGTCATCTTCCTTTTAAATAATACACTTCTCTTGGAGTATCTTTGCTATTGCAGTGTCATTTAACATTCACTACAGCATAATTAAGGAAGTGGTGCTTACTTTTAAGTACAAAAGTGCTGAAGACCAAGGTTAGTTACTGTCCTTAGGTTCGCAGCTTCTTTATTGTGGTTTGAATTGCATCGGTAAGATATTTAAATGTAAGATCATATAAAGATAAAAAGTTCAAATATTTCTATGAAATGTTTCAAATGATATTATTAGGATTTTCTTAGATTGTTATTATATATTGTCTCAAATATATAGCAATTAAGTTTTATAGATGAAGTAGTAATTTGTTGGGAAATCTTGTGATGGGAAAAAAATCTAATACAGTGCTAAAGATTGTACTGTCTGTAATACTGACTTCTTGATAACCTCCCATTACACACTTTGGGTGTCCTTAAGAGACCTTATTAGAAATATGTATGATTATACAATTCAATCATATCATTTTTCAATAATAATAATAATAATAATAATAGCTACTTTAGTTTTGTACCCCGCCTCCATCTCTCCGAAGGGACTCGGGATGGCTTCCATGGAGACAAGCCCAATTAACATAATTAAAATAAACATATTAAAATACATAAACAACAGCATAAAACAAAATAAAACATCATCATTATAACAAAATATAAAAACAACCATAGAAACAACAACCAATGGACCTGAAATAATATCCAGTTTTTGGACACAGGTTGATGCTTTTGGACATCATTGAAAAATGATTTAAATGGGAAATCACCTTTATTTTACATAGATTTGTTCAGGTTTATTAATCTAAGAGAGAAGCATTTGTTTCCCCAAGTCCCCCAAAGATCTATGTGCCTTGAAGTGGACTTAGGGTGACCTTTTCATAGGGTTGTCCTGGCAAGATTTATTCCAAAGGCAGCTTGTTGTTGCCTTCCTCTCAGGATAATTAAGCAGATAGTCTTCTGAAATATCTGGGCCTGGGAGGAGCATAGATTCTTTCTGTACTTCTTGTAAGAAGTACTTTGTGATAGGAAAGATTATAGGAAACAGCTATATGTCACTAAAGTGAAGATGGAAAGATCCATATTAGCTTTCCACCTCTGAACAATAAATTGAGACATCTCATTTCCAATGACAGACATTTAGATGTGAATAAGAAAGTGGCAGCAATGCCAAAACTTCTGAGATTTATCAGACCATGAATGATACATAGTGATAATCAGCTTTGGATTTAGAGAAGCCATGGGAACAAATTTTAAAAGAAACTAAGAATGCTTCTCAGCATTGGATTTTAGACCAACCTAGAAACAATTCAGGGGTTACTCTGTGAAGTATGCGTTACACATTGCTAACGCTGGTATTTTGAGTTGGGCTGATTGGATTTTGGCTGATCTTTCTATATACTATACTATTTTGTTTTATGCATCTCTTATTACCAAATTAAGAAGGTATCACATCAATGGATTTGACAGGAAAACAATGCAGCAGGAGAGAACCACACTTCCATATGAATTGGTTGACTGATTAAATTGTTCGATTTTTTATTGTTTGTTTTATAAGAACAATTTGTGCTGTGGAATCTCGTTAGAGTGTATTTTATTTGTTTTATTCAAAGACCAACAAAGAACTAATTAAATGTGGGATTACTTATTCACAAAGTACAGCTGATGAAACTGCATTACCAGCATAAATGGCATGTTGACCATGAACTATAAAACCAAGACCAAGTTTTAGGAGATGTTATATTCTGGAAACTGTGGTAACTTGAAATGCAGATACTCCTGGCAAATATGTTACTAATATGGGCTCTAGGTTGTATACAGGCAATTAACATTAAAAATAACCATCTCCTCAGGATCACTTAATTCATCAAGGACATGAGACTAAACTCGGGAATTTAATTTGATTTACTTCTTACAAATTTCTAGTTGCATTGGATTGGTTTCTAGTGTTGTTCACAAAAACATGGCATCATTTGGTGTATTACTGTCTCGGAAGCATGGCAGATCTGCAAACTTTGCTTGTTGCAAGCATTGGGGCCTAGGTTTAATTTCATACCACATCATTTGCAGTTTCATGATTACTTCTTAACGTTCAGTGCAACATGCTGATCGCTCACTGTGAAAATGACAGAAGAGCAGAACTGCCCAATAACAAATCTCTGACTAGATAACAGAAATCTCAGTGGATAGAAAGAATAAATAAAAATAAATGTTTTTGGTTCATTTTGGTTCATTTTATACCTTGTGTAAAATGTTTTGTTTCAGGGTGACTGAAGTAATCAAAAGCATACATGAGAGATGTACACTAGTAGAAAGGAGGATTATTTTCTTGTGGTTATGCCATATTGAACAGAGGGCAGAGTAGTTGTCTTTCAAGGCCCCTTTCAGCTCTGTCATTCTATGATATTGCTTGTCAATTCACTACATGAACTATGGAATAATAATATCTATTGTGGGAGAGCTTCAGTTGTCTAGCCTTTATGTATCTATTCCATTGAACAGAAAAATCAGGTCACTCTCATCTAAGGTAGTGGGAAAGCTGAAAATAACATCGCCATCAGATATTGTACCATATGCATTTCCCCTAAATAATGGGCCTGTCAAGCGTGTTAGCAAGAGCCAGCATAGTGTAGTGGTGTGAGCATTGGACTACAACTTTGGAGGCGCTAGTATGAATCCTCGCTCAGCCATGGAAACCCAGTGGCTGATCTTGACAAGTCACACTCTCTCAGCTTCAGAGGAAGGCAATGGGGAAACCTCTTTTGAACAAATCTTGCCAAGAAAACCCATGAGAGGGTCGCCTTCAAGTTGCCATTAGTTGAAAATGACTTGAAGGAGCACAACAAAAAGAACGTTAGCTATAGTTTACTGGCATTTCTGAATGTCAATGAACATATAAATTCTTTTGAAAAAAATTTTTTTTAAATGAAGAGTTGATTTTTTAAAATTCCTTTCCCCATCTAATTGAATATATCATTACTGATAACTCTTCCACATAATTAGCACAGACTCCAGCATTGTTAAACAAGAATACTTGGGTACTTTTGAAGTTAACAGGGCTAAATTAGTTTAAATTCAAGTGTGATCCAGCAATACGTGTTCACTGACACTGGAATTTAAATTCTGATGGCCTCCTGCTATTACTCTCTGTCTTGCCAGTGACTGCCCTGGCCCTCAGCCAGCACTTAGCAGACAATCGTAAAGTAGACAGAAGGCTATGACACCTCTATTGATAAGCATCACTGGCACACCAGAGCAGATACTGGACAGCATACACAGTCTGTAAACTATGACTGCAATAGTTATAAGGAAAAAGGGAAACCAGATTGGGATCAGGTGTGATCATTACTCCCAAATTCCCAGAGCACTCAAAGAAGAGCTATCAAATTAGGTCAGTGTTGTGTAGGGGGTAAATAAGATGGAGAGGTGGGCTGGGATGTTATATATGCAGTACGTGTGATCTATGTCTGAGCTCCAGTCCTTCCTTGACTTGTTTTGGAACAAAAGAGAAAGAAATTAGAACTGTCATATCATCTTAAAGAAAGAAAAAGATATTTATTGAAGACCTGACAGCTTAAAGAGCCTTTGAATTAACAATGACTCAGCCAGCTTTGCTACTGTCTGAAAGAGTATTTCCAAGTATTTCCGACTGTACAAGCCAAGGCCTTCCCAGTACGGTTACCTTTTCCGTAGAACTCAGATGCAAGCTGAATCTTGAAGTAGGCTATAATAATTCTAAATGCCTAAATGAAGATTGCGAAACATTTTTCATGGAAATGTTTATATTCAGTTTCTATGCACTCATTCATTTAGAAAGGACAACTTAATAGTACATGACTAAGTGCAAGATAGGTCTAACCTGAATTTCCCCTTAATATTTGTCCTATAGTAATATCCAGATTTACGCTGCCCTTTCCTCATTTATATCAATAGGGACAAAAGGATTTACTTAGCATGAAAGAGAAGTCCTTTAAAGATCTCTCTGTCGAGGAACCTTTATACCAGCAAAAGAATATCAATATTTGGTGCATTTTGCTAAAATGCTTTCAATCTCACACCAGTTTTTGCAGGTTAGGTGTCACTACAGAGGATCAGAGGCTTTGAAG